TGTTGTGCAGACTACACAAACTCCTCTCACACAAACAAACAAACAAAAAGAAAGAGAGAATAAAAGAATAACTCTGGAACGTGCCACGTTAACTAGAAACAGAGAAAAAACCTTTGATGATTTGTTAGGTGCAGTCTGCATAGTGAATGTCTGAACGGATCACAAGATGGCAGATGGTTGACCAACAAAACACTTCACTGCTTGCACATCCCCACACACTTCGTCAACCCCACACAAGTTTACGTAGGCAAGGACACCACGGTTTGTTTCGCTGCTTGTTTGTCTGTCTGTCTGTTTGTCTGTTTGTTTCGTTGCTTGTCTGTCTGTCTGTCTGTTTATTTGTTTATTTGTTTGTTTGTTTGTTTGTGATGTATGGTCTTCGTTGAATTTTAATTATTGTCGTGTGATGTTCGTTTGCTGGCTTCATTCTTCCTCTGTTCGTTTAGATTTGAATACGAATGCATGTTCGTGTGTTTGTGATTGTGCGTTCCTGCATTTGTGTGTTAGTGCGTTTGTGTTTAGCGGTTTGTTGGGACGGCAGCCATATTTGTGGTTGATGAATAATTTCAATTCGACTATTACTTGACGCATTTCTGATGCCAAATCATCGGTAGCGAGGCATGGTGTGATGAAAATTATTGGCCTATTGGTTTTTGTTTGTCATTGAGTTGATGAGTTTGATAATGGTGAACAATAATGATGGACAACAATTACGAACAACGTTTGTTAAAAATTATAAAAAAAGGAGCAATGCAAAATAAAAGTTGACTGTCAAAATGTTGTTCATAAAATGTTTTATCTCTTGATGTTTTCCGTGTAACTGTAAAAGTGGAGCTTGTATTTGATCAGCGGTGAATCCAACTCATCGGACATGGGAGCATTAAGAAGAGCCAACTTATTTAACACATATGCGGGACATTTAAGTTAACAAGAGGCACAAATGTTAATCAATGCTAATTTTAAAAATATGCATGTTAATCAACGTGAATGCTGAGCAACGTAAACATTATGCAACATAGACATTAAGCAACATAGACATTAAGCAACATAGACATTAAGTAACTTAGACATTAAGCAACATAGACATTAAGCAACATAGATATTAAGCAACATAGACATTAAGCAACATAGACATTAAGCAGCACAAATGTTTTTAAAAAACCTGAATGTTGAACAACATGAATGTTGAACAAGATGGCTGAATAATGTTGCAGCATGGAAGTAATGAGTCCGCCAGGAAAATGTATCCAAAGAGTATCATCATCGTTATCAGAGGAGAGAACAGATGATGAGCACGATGATGATGATGACGACGACGACGTTGATGTTGTGGGTGATGATGATGATGACGATGGTGATGATGATGATGAAGTTTTGGATAATGAGGATGTAGATGTTGTTGACGACGATGATGATGAGCATGATGATGAGCTTGATAGTAAGAGTCAGATTGTTTATAAGATGATGATTATGACGACGACAATGATAATGATGATGATGGTAATGATGATACGGATAACGATGACAACCGCAATGAGGGTATAATGTAGTAACGGCAATGAAGGTGATCACTTGGCGGCGATGAAGATGAAAATTTGACACGGCCTGAGAAAATGATGATAACAAATAATGATAATATTGATGATGATTAATGCAAATTTTCTGATTAAATTGATGAGGATGATAATGTTGATGTAGACCAGAAGATCGAAAAAGAAATATAGCGATAATTCACTCTCTGTCTGCATAACTGTGACAACGAACAATTTCAGAAGTTTGCGATGAAAATGTGATGCGTTGGGTGGTGGGTGATGATGACAATGAAAATGAGGCTGATGATGATGATGTCTCATGGTGGTTTATTTTTAGTGGCTGATTCAGAATTCAGTGTTGGAGGTTTATTAATATATTTTACACAGAAACCTTCAAAATTTTTTTCTATCATGATCTGGGGGTCTGGGGGTGAGGCAGTCCCCTTGTCTAATTCTACCCATGTGATGCATGGGCCTGGCACATTGTGCCAGTCGATTACGACTTCAACTGTTTTTTTATTTTCATGAATTTTATATGATGTATATGTCGTCTGCTGAGAAGTTTTCTAGAATTTTGAAACACGCAGAATTACTGAGAATTTTGTTTTGAGAATTTTGTTTTGCTGTGTTTACTACTCCCACACACACAACACAACACATATATACACATACACAAACATATACACACACAGACACACACGTACAGAATTTTTAAAATGATGATTTTTGTTGGAATTTGAAGGAGAGAGTCAAGCAAATGTTTGCTAGTGTGGTGAAAATAATGGTGATGATATTTCTTTACCTTATTACGTCACTATTTGGTGGACTTTATCTTAAAGCTGTTGTTTTTCTGTCTAAAAGCCGAGGTCTACTAACTTTTAATTGAAACACTGCTCACAATGGTCTCAACCGTCACTGATCCGCCACTGCACACATTTTGTACATTGTTTATACGTTCACATTATATTAATTAATTAATTTTATTTTTGTTTGTCTGTTTGTTTGCATGCTTGTTTGTTTTTTTGTTTGTTTCTTTGTTTGTATATGCTACTTAACAGTCAGAATATGTGCATGTACATGTAGTCTGATTGAAAATTGTGTTAGGGGATAACCAGATAGAAGCTTAGAAACCAGCCACAAAGAGGGATTTATGATGGAAACAAACGTTTGTGTGTGTGTTTCTGCAAGTATATGTATGTGTATTGGACGTTTTTGTGTGGTGTGTGTGTGGTGGGCGCATGTGCATGGATATGTGTGGTGGACGCGTGTGTATGCCGGTTTAATATCCTCATTTGCATATCAAATTTTATTTATCTATTTCCTGCAAATATCTGACGAATGCGCTTGTCTTTTTTCGGCCAATAAATTTTCACCACTCTGATTGTATTCGCGCTTTTGTGCAAATGTGCGTGCATGTGTGTGTGTTTATGTGTGTGTGTGTGTTTATGTGTGTGTGTTTATGTGTGTGTGTTTATGTGTGTGTGTGTATTAAATTGCACGAGCAGTTGTGTGTGTATTCATTTTTGTATATAAGTTGATAATGAAATTTATGTATGCTATGTCAGTCCGTGCACATTTTTTGGAAGAAGAAGAAATTGTTATATTGAAAAAAGTTCGACGAACCCCCCAAAAATAATTGAAAGTATAAACGATGACGATAATGAAAATGGATTGTGTAATGAAGGAACTTAATTTAATAACCGTTCTGAAACATATTAATTGAACATTTGTTCATATGTGCATGAATGTATGCCCGCCTTCATATGCTTTCTAATGTGAATGGTTTTTTGGGTCGTGGAAGTGACTTTTAGAATAAATTATATGAATAAATGGAGAATTAAATGAATGAACGAACAAATGAATGAATGAATGAACGAACGAACAAGCGAACGAATGAACGAACGAATGAATGAATGTTATATTATAATACTTATACTACAATAATGCAATAGAATGCACTTATATATATATGCATGTATCTGTATGTATGTATGTATGTGTATATATATATATATATATATATATATATATATACATATTATGACCATGTTCATTTGAATGACATTACTCTTATATGGTTTCTTTATTGATTATCAATTTTTAAATGTCTTTGGTCGTTACCGGTATTATTGTGTTGTTGTTTTTGTTGTTGGTGGAGTTGTTGTCGCTACTCTTAGCGGTGTAGATGTTATTGCAATTGTTGATCATATTGATGTTATGGATGTTGCTGATGTTATCAATGCTGCTAGTTCAGTTTTTATTGTTGTTGTTGTTGCCGTTGTTGTTGTTGTTGTCGTTGCAGATGTTTTTGATGTTGTTGTTGGCTTGGTTCAGGTGCGTCGATTAGTTGTTGTTGTAGTTTTTTTTAAATTGGAAATTGTTTTGTCGCCATATAATTTCAATTTTTGTATTGTTGTTGTTTTTCGAATGAGGTCATTATTTCGATGACGTCATTTTGTTCTGTTGCTCCCGAAACAAATTTGGTTGCTACCATGCACTTTTCACAAAGAATAATGAATGATTTGTCCTGCCAATTAAGCTATTTAGTATCAGCGTCTTGCTCTCTGTTTGTTGTTTATAGCGTTGTGGCTTATGATATTATGTTGATGAATCTTAAATTTTTCTTGAGTTATAATCTGAAGTTATAATTTGATCTTTTATTTATTAACTGTAAATTTAAATTTTTATTTTTCATAGATAAGAAATTTTTTTCGTTTTTAAAATTTTCAATCTTTTGTTTACGTTATATTTTGTGTCTTTGTTTTTATTTTAACGTTATCTACAGCTACCGTTTCATATTTGAAATTCATTCATTTTTACGGCTCTTCGGGCTGTTTATTGACGCCATTTTGCTGATATTAAATTGATTGTTTTTGTTGTTGTTGACACTATCATGTCGATTGTTGTTGTTATTCTATTGATTATTGTTTTTATCTTGTTGATTTTTGTTGTTGTTATGTTGATTGTTGTTGTTATTATGTTGATTGTTGTTGTTGTATTGATTGTTGCTGTTGTTTTGGTGATTATTGTGGTTATTCTGTTGATTGTTGTTGATTATTGTTATTGTTGTTCTGTTTTTTGTTATTGTTGTGTTGTTTTTTGTAGTTGTTGTGTTGATTGTTGTTGTTCTTTTATTGATTTTATTGATTTTTCATACTCCTCCGTCTCATTTTACCGATGGATGAAATTTTCATCATTCACGAAATGAAACGGTTATTCGTTCGTGCGTACGTTTGTTTGTTCGTTTGTTCGTTCGTTCATTTGTTTGTTCGTTCGTTCGTTCGTTTGTTTGTTTGGTTATTTTTTGTTTTTTTTTTTCATTTAGAATCAGTTGAAAAATTACCGTTTAACTATTAGCGAGTTATGTCAACAATTTGTAATAATGTTTCAACCAGAACAACAACAGCAGCAACAACAACAACAACAACAATAATGATAATAATAACAGATAACAATAATAATAGAAATAATAATAAGTTGTCGGTTCGATTTTTATTACGAACATAATTTTTTATTATCAACTCTTTTATAATCATTTTAGTTCTCATAAAAAAAAATAATAACAACAACAAAATAACGATAATAAAAATAGTAATTATATTAATAATAATAATAACAATGACAATACAAACTTTGATTGGCAGATTTTAAGTTTATCGTTCCTTTACACTTATTTAATCACTCATTATTTCATCACCGCTGGTGTGCAGCTGATTATTATGATTGTTGTTTTTAATATTATTGTTGTTGCTGTTGGAGGTGGTGATGATGTTGTTGCTGCAGCTGCTGTAGTTAGTGTTGTTGTTGTTGATGTTGTTATTGGCTTGACGCTATGGAAGTTGATGACGCCATGTTTGGGCTGCTGATAATGATGCTCCGGTTTTTATGTGGCTCGGTCGGATGTTTAAAGTGAACAAAATTCGAATCTTCGGTCGCAAAACGTTCATTAAATGTGACAATTCTATGTTTGCGCTTCAGATGTTATGTCTTTGGAAAGATGGCGCTGCTGTGGAGGTGGTGATGATGATGATGTTGATGATTATGATGATGATGATAACAATTATAATGACAACGGTGATTGAAAAGGTGAAGGTAACAAGAAACTTTGAAAAACTGACGATTTTGCAGATGATGATGATGATGATGACGTCGATGTTGATGATGACGAAAATGATTATGATGAAACAAGCCTGAAAATGGTATTATTACAAGAATATAAATTTGACGATAGTGTTTTGATTGAAGTTGCGATTAACTTTCCATTAATGAGATAATGTTGATGCTGTCAGATGTCGACACGATGATGACATGATGAGGTTATGGTGATGACGTAATGACATGATGATGATAACGTGATGACGATGACGTGAACATACAATGGCAACCCACGCAGATAACAATTGGATTGCAAGGCGTCCTTCCCAGAATCTTTCCTCCTCATCTTTTCATTTGCTACTTCGCTCTGTCTTCCTCTTCACTATCATCCCCATCATCATTCATGCCATCATCGTCGTCTTCGTCGCTGACTCACGCTCGAGTGACACCTAGCGAAATAAAATGCAACACCCCAAAAAATCTGCGAAACATGTTTAACAGTTCCGACCAAGGTTCGTCTTAGTTTCGAAAGTTAAAGTTTTAATCGTTCTTTTATTTTTAAGGGTCAATTCATTTGAGTTGGCTGGTTGTTTGGTTGACTGAATGAGCTGGTTGAATGGTTGATAAGCTGATTGAATAATTGTTAAACTGAGTAAATGATTGATGAATTGGCTAATTCCTTGACAGGGTGACCGATTGAAATGTTTATTTATTGATAATTAGATTAATTGATAGATAGATTGATTGGTTGATTGGTTGATTGACTGACTGACTGACTGACTGATTGACTGATTGATTGATTGATTGATTAAAAAATGGGTTGGTAAGCTGATTAAATGATAGAAAAGTTGATTGATAAGTTGAATGATTGATGGATTGAAAGTTGTTGGTACCGGATGCGTTGAAGCCAAGTTAATTGATTCATTAATAAAAATTGTTTCAGCGATTTGATTGATTGATTGATTGAAGGCTGGGCCAATGAAAAATTTTGAAAATTTGATTGGAAAAATAAATGAACAAATTAAACGGACCGACGGAGGCGGAAATAGTGTTTGGAGGATTGTGACAACAGTAACAACAATAGAAATAATAACAACAATAACATTAATAATAATTATTATTGCAACTAATAATATTATTATTGTGTTATGGTAATGATAAATACTGAGATAATGATGAATTTTATGATGATGAATTTTGTGGTGATAGGTGATTGGCAGTACTTTAATTAGGAGCTGTGTTGGAGGCAGGAGAAACCAACTCAGTTGTTAGAAATCCATTAATTAAATTTTTTCAGAGTATAAGTAAATTTGAAAACAATCAGAAAACAAAGAACTAAGCAGAAGCATGAACAAAGGACAATGTAAAAACGATTGGTGGAACTCCATTGCCAGAGAGCATGTGTGCAAAATCAAATAAACAAATAACATACAAACGACATACAAACAAACAACATACATACAACATAAAAATAAACAATCAGAGCCAATCCTAGCGGCGAGAAGATGGTGCACCACACGTTGGTGACGGAATATGGTATAAGGGGCAGCCAAATGATCATTCAGAAGAGAAAATGTAAACTTCGAAGTACAACACAATACAAATTTAGACATGATTTGATATATTTCTCGTGATGTACATATTTTCTATAATTTAACGCACATACATCGTATTAATTGGCAACAATAAATAATTATATTTTTTAATAATTATATAATTTTTAGCACCTGGGTTTAACAACTTAGTGCATAAAAATAAATCAGTTTTTTGACTATCTATATTTGTTTTAAATTTTAAAATATTCACTTTACAAGAAAGTTTATTCATATACCAAAATTGAGTAACTAAACTAAGGCCGTGCAAGAAGTTATTTTCTTTTGCACCCTAAGCTATTTAACCATTTTTTGTTTTCAATTTACTACTAAATAAGGGTGAAAATTCATTTGAAATATAGAGCATAATGTTTGTAAAACAAAGAGGGCGGCCAACTTCAGTTTGTACTTTGGCGGTCAAAGGTCTGGGATCGGCTCTGTAAACAAACAACAAGCAAGCAAACAAAAAGACAAACAAACAAATAAACTACAAATAAACAACAAACAATCAAACTAGCATACAAACAAAAAAGCAAACAATCAAACGAACGAACAAGCAAACAAACTAGCATATAAACTAGCATACAAACTAGCATACAAACAAACAAAATAAGAAACGTTGACGAGGTGTAATTTATTAAATTATTGACAGATGGTCTGAACATAACCCTGCATATAATGTCCTCGCAAATCAACATCACCTTCTTACACGTAAACCTGTCCTTGCATGACTGCACAAGGCTTAAATCGTTAGTTCCTCTGTTCTTCTTGTTATAGTGTGTTGTTGTTGTTACGGTACTGTTGTTGTTTTCATATTACTGTTGTTGTCATAACATAATATAACACAACGTAACAACATAACACAACATAACACATCATAACATAACAAAATGATACAGGAAATGGGGTCAGACAGAAGGTTCTTATGCCTTTATCCAGTTATATCAAAATGTAAAATATTAATAGTATATATATATATATATATATATATATATATATATATATATATATATTTATATAATAGATTTCGGCGGCATATAACAACTAAATTGTGTTGCCTTGAAAAAGAGAAACGATTTTATTAATAAAAAATAATAAATTAATTAAATCAATTTAGCCTTAATTAAGTAAAAGTCGTACCTGAAAAAGAGAAACAACAATTAAAGCTATTATATAATAACCAATATTAACTAAGAGCTAGAAGAAATATTCAAAATATCCAAATAATTTCAACTCAAACAAAAACTTAAATTTAATCTGTCAAACGTTTCACAATTTACACAATAACGTTGTACACCATAACTCAATTCATAATGAAGTGGAAATCCTTCATTACATATATATACATATATATTTGTTGGTAATAAACCATAATTTTTACAATATTCTATAAATTCTACCGAATGTTTGGCGTTGATATATATTATAATTCAAAATAAACTTATTTTCCGAAAAAATTTTTTGACATTTATGAATGGCTGTCATAGCATAATAATTTTTTTTTATTCTTGTTTACCGCTTTTTAAACGTCTTGATAAATTAGAGGATGTTGATAAAATTAGTGGGAATATTAATAAGATCTTAATTAAAAGATCATCAGTCCATGCAATCTAATATTGCATCTATCAAAGAGACCTTAGATAACATTGGTTCCAATGTAGTTTCTGATGTAAGTATCCAGAATGAAATTGATTTATTTTTAAATGCCATAAATGGTGAAATTTCATCTGTCAAGGATCTTTTGTCTAACAATATTTCTACGATTAATGCTGAAACAAATTTTAATGATGATATTAATTCCTTGAAAAAGGATGTTAACAATGTCTTTCAAAATTAAATAGGGTCTATTACAGATTCACTAACTGAGGTTAGCTTACATGCTCTTTCAGGATCAATGGTTCAAGTTGAACTTACTTCCCTAAAAAATTATATAGAAAAAAGATGGTCAAGCTTGTTCAAAAATGAAATTGATAATAGTATTAAATTGATTAGCACTGAGGTTAAACAAGTTACCAAAAAACTTGATCATGATGCTGAGCTTAAAATGCGTGCTAACAACATTGTTATTTTTAATTTTAGGGATAATGATACTATCAAAAATGATAAAGTTTGTATATTTAATTTTATAAACAAGTTGTGTGGTGACAAAGCTGATGCCAACTCATTTTTTTTAAAAGATTGGGGACTAAAAAAGATAACCCAATTAGACCTGCATGGTTGATGTTTCGTGATACTGCTATTAAGTCATTGATTTTCAAAAATGTGGGTTTCATCAAGACTATGGAGGATGAATTTCATAAAATTGTCATTAGACATGACTTGACGTCTGAACAGCGTCTTGAAATTAAAAAAAATGGATGAATCAAAAGAGCTGCAGAACAATGATAAAAATATTTTTTTATACTGGGTGAGGGGCGATCCCGGCAAATCGCGGATCGTCCGGTTTCCAAAAACGAGTGTTGGTTAAATTTTTCATTACATGACAAACTGTTTTTTGGTCTTTTGAATATATGCTCCATTATAAATAAGCATACACATGTTAATGAAATTATTATTGATGAAATGGATATTTTGGTTTTAACTGAGACGTGGCATCGTGCGTCTGATGGCCCATCCATCAGGCTAGCTTTGCCACCAAATTATTCCTATATTGATCTTTTGAGGTTAAACGATCCCACACATGGTGGTACTATTATATTTTTTTAAAGTTCCTTTAAAGCCAAAAAAGTTGAGTTAACTATTTTTCATACATTCTTCTGGCGATATATCGCCTTGGGTCTAGGCTATTTCATCATTATTTTTTGATGAATTACTATGGTCCACTGTTAACAAAATTCTTTGTAGACAGCCTGTTGTGAATTCTGCGGAGTCCGGCGTTGATGTTTCGGTTCATGATTTGACTGAATTCTTTTACAGCAAAATTACTTCTATAAGGGAGTCAGTGCAATCTGGGGATGGTAATTTTTTTAATTCCCCATTGGATGTCGGTGGAACCTGTGCATTGCTGGCATTACAGGAATGTACGGCTGCTGGTATTCGTAAAGTTGTACTTGACTCCCCGTCAAGCTGTTCTTCGCTTGATTTGGTGCCCCCCATGTTTTTAAAAAATATATTGACTTATTCCTTCCATTTGTATTGCATATTGTCAATTTATCCCTTAGCTCTGGCCAGTTTCCCTCCTTACTGAAACATGCTATAGTCATCCCCACTCTGAAAAAACCTAGCCTTGATAAAAATACATTGGCTATCTATCGCCCGGTCTCTAACCTTCCGTTTTTGGCTAAAATTATTGAGAGAATAGTCAACAAGCAGTTGCTTTGCTATTTGTCTGCTAATGGTCTTCTTCCGTTCTTGCCAATCTGGTTATCGGCGATTTCATTCGACTGAAACTGCTCTCATCAATTTGGCTTCAGAATTGTTTATTGCAATTGATGAACAAAAGATTTCGCTTTTTGTTCTGCTTGACATGAGTGCGGCTTTTAATTGTGTCGATCATGTGATTTTAATTGATGAATTACAGCATTTATTTGGTCAAAAAGAGTTATTCAGATGTTGCAGTCCATTCAGAATAGAGCTGCTAAACTTGTTTCTGGACGTTCTAGGTCTGACCATGAGGCTTACACTGACTACCTGTTAAAAAACGTATTACTTTTAAAATTGCAATGCTTATGTTCAAATGCTTGAATGGTATTGCACCTGGCTATCTAATTGATAGGTGCACTGAACGTCTTGTTCCAGGGCATTCCTACAAATTACGTTCTAATGATCGTGACTTACTTTTTGTGGCTCCAACAAATCTTGTTACAGGTTCAAGAAATTTTTCAGTTGTTGGGCCATCTGTGTGGAATAGCCTGCCTTGGGAACTGCGTGTTTCGGGGCATTCAATTTTATCCTTCAGGAGGGGACTAAAAACGTTTCTGTTTGCGCAATAAGCGCTTTGATTGTTGTTTCCTTGTGATCTGTTTCAGCGCCTTTGAGATTTGATGAAAGGGCGCTATATAAATCTACCTAATGATAATGATATATATATATATATAGAGAGAGAGAGAGAGAGAAAGAAAGTTATCACTTAACATAAATGCAAATTATACAAAGCAAATTATACAGATAAAAGCCAGCAATTACACTTTATACATTTATCTTTTTCAGCCATAATGTAATGTATTAATTACTTTAAAGTGCGGACAAAACGATATCCAGGCGAGAAAAACAAAAACTGACACGTGCTTGACTGACGTGTTTTGCCGGTAAACTCCAACTGCAGCCAAAACTACAAACTAATTAATACAAAATAGAATTTATACAAACAAATCAGTAAACTTTATTTTAATTAATTTATTTAAATATTTAGGATTATCGCAAACCATAGATCATTATCTTGTTTTTATTATTAATTTTAAGTTTTTTTAAATTTTTTTAAAGCATGCTATAGGCATTCAAATAATTTCATTGTTACTAGATCTATCAATTATGAAAATTATCGTCAAAATTGAAATTAACAGTGTATAATTGTGTATTTATTAAATAATTAATTGATTAGTCTTAACATTAATTTCCTATAAAGACATTTTACTTGAAGCCAAACGTTCAAAAACTGCAACCACACTCTAAACCTTTGAACATAAGTATACGGAAACATTTTGCTTGTAATTGATAAATTAGTATTTAATTTATAATTCTTTAATAAATCAAAAATTTAGCTAATTAATGCCGTCAAATTTCATGCATCACCAATTTATCAAATAAGTTATATTGATCACTAATTAACCAATTACTAAAAAGTTTATTAATTGGAATTCAAGTTGATGTGTTTGATAGTCAGAGCGTTAGGGTCGACCGTTGTGGAAGTCTGGCTGAACTTTAGCTTCAACTCTGAAATTTTTGGTTGGGTCAGTACCTAGACGTTACTGGGCTCTCCAGAAGCTGAAGCAGTATTCAAAGAATACTGTGGTGTCGACTGAGATCTTCTTGACGGCCTACTGCCCATCAATTTGTTACTCGGTTTTAAGGCCTCTCTATAAGCTTTAACTTTTTCCAATAAGGCCTACACTTAAATTTTGAATATTGTATGCTAGATCTTTGTGTATGTAAGGAAAGGATGGGCAAACGACAGATGCATTGCTTTCTGCCTCTAAAACTTCATAGAATGGTAAAATCCATCTATAGCAATCTTCCATCTCGTCACAAGACAGAGCTGTGATCTGAGTAACAGTGATGATGCTCATAATATAGAAACTGATGGTAACGGCAGCCAGCAAGTGGTATCCAAATTGAAGTGACTCAGTGCACATGAGACACAGATCCAACAACTGACTGGCAAAGACATCCTGGTTGTAGTGTGGAACAAGAAAATCTTCCTCTGGTTTACACGCGTCTAGTTGGAAAAAATATTGATCCAACAGAAGGCCGTTACCGGAGATAATTTCCAATGAAGCACCTGTAAGATGTGTTTTTCAAAAGCCAACATTTCATCAGTAGTGCAGGCCCCATCTGCCATGTAACAGAACTGTGAAAGTTTTGGTGGGTAGGTTTCTTCAATCTTGGAAGCAATTAACAGCGATGTAATTCCTATTAACTGCAGAGTTGTTTTCTGGATTCCACTTGATCTGCTCAGGTACCTATCAACATAATCAATTGCCATGTACAATGTCTTTCTCTGCAGCTTGTAGACAGCACTGACATTGATCAGCCAATCGATCAATATTGCTCTCATCTCTGGTTGAATGTCTGGATTTGTTTTGTAAAAATTTTTATCTCTAAAATAGGCTGGCTCTGTTTCCCTCGAGACCATGGAATACCACGTTTCGTAAGAATCTGACGAGAAAAGTGAAGGCAGCGGGTTGTAATTTGTCTAGCACGGCGCTGCAAAAATTTGAATCATCGTGCCTGGTTATGTCCTTCTGTCATGAATGAACAAATATTCTCCAACCAATAAAACGACCTTGACCTTGACATTTGTGCATTAGTAACAAAAATACTGAATTATTTACAAGCAAACTTTCGTTCACTAGTAGCAGAAGAAAATTGACACCATCTAACGAAAATTACTTTTGAATTCTTCTCATTTATTTTCATCAAACGCAAACATCAATTTACGTTTAAATTAACTTTTAAATTCATTTAAAAAAACAATTTGATGAATAAATAGATGATAGCGATAAATTTTGAACGTTTAAGAGGATGCATGTTGATCGTTGGCCGGTGCTGAGAACGTTTCGCGTCGTTTGTATTCATTTCTTCCTATCCTTCAGGGGTTCACATTTAACATGCACAAAAAATCAAACCGATGCAATTGCTGAAATAAAAAATAAGAAAGCATAAAAAAGTCTGAGGCGAAAAATTTAACTGGGAATTCTAAATCATGATGAGGAGGCATTAAGATAGATTGAGTGAATTTGTTACTCCTAAGCGCAGTCCATAAATTATTTTAGAAAATCCGGCTATTTTTTTTCTGTGATGACTCACGCTCAACTTAAGGTGGAATTTTTTCAAATCTTTTTAATCAACAGTAAACAGCATTGCATAAAATGTCTGCATATATGCAAGAAAAGAGGCATCTAATGAAATGAATATTTAATAACTTGAAAATTTTCTGAACCTCAAAAACATTGAAGTTCAAAAATTTGCATTAAATAGGAAAGTTGTGACGGATTAAATATTGCAAACAAAATGTTTGTATGTTTTTGTTGTTGTAGTTGTGTTATCGTTGCGAATTTGAGGATGCTGGTATTTTTGGTTTCTGTTGAGGTTTTTTAATTCTATTCACATTAGGATTATGGTGCAATTGGCGTTCGTTATAATATATTAATCAATATGTGTATCTTACATTTTTAAATTTATACATTTGATCTTATGTAATTAATGTTGCTGTAAGACTTGCATCTGTATGTTTGTGTTGTTAAGTTTGTGTTATTGTTGTTGTTTCTTTATGTTGTGTTCACATTAATGTGATTGTATTTGCACATTACAATGTTTGTTGTTGTTGTTGTTGGTGGTGGTGTTGTTTTATCACTATGTGTTTTATTTAAAACTCCTTCATACTGTTGAGTTATTTGTTGTTTTATCTCGTTGTTGACTTCTTCTGCATGCATGTTTTATTACGTTTCACGTTCACAAAAAATATTTCTTAATCAACTTTTGTTTTATTCTTGCCTGTTTCAGTATTGTAAAGTTGAAACGTCGTCGTCGTCATCCTAGTGGCACGCAGTGATGTTTTGTGGTGTTTGTCGTTGGCAACGCTGTTGTTGTTGTGTTGTTGTTGTTGCAGGGTTACAGAGTCAATATAGAAATTTTGCAGTAGTTGTAGTAGTAATAACGATAATGATAGTAATGGGAGCTGTAGCAGGCAATACATGCAGACGGCCGTAAATATAAAAGTAGCGAAGGCAATAACATTAATAAAGCAGGACAGCAAACATGGTTGCAAGTAAGTTGCAATTGGAAAGGCCGCGGAAGTAAAAGAGCAATATTGAAATATTGTTTTATTGTTTTTCCGCAGAACAACGCTTCCTAATTTTACAGCCAGCTATACCATGCTCATCATCTTCTTCATCGTCTTCATTGTAACAAGCTGGTTACAACCATTGTTATCAACACGTTATCATAAATGTTATTGTTATCATCATACCATCTTATTTATTCTTAGACAAAATGTAATTATTAGCATATTTATTTTTAATATTTGTGTGTGTACGTGTGACGTATGTTTGTGACGTATGTACGTGTGTGTACGTGTGACGTATGTGTGTGACGTATGTATGATGTATGTGTGTTTTTATGTTTGCGACATGTGCGCGCTTATGTGCAGTGCCGATTTATTCTCGTTTATTATGAACAAACAATAAATTTGTTACATAATATATGTATTTTAATGTAGCATAATAATTTATTTGTTACATAATAATTTATACTGTTATTATGGTTGCTATTATTAACATGAGTATTTATTGGCACAAATTATTTATTATTTTTAATATATAAATTATTATTTACCAAAAAATCTCTCAAAAACGCAGATAAAAGTTTAGTTATGTCATAATTTTTTTGCCATCCTCACACTTCAAGGTAGTTGGCTCGACACCAATTGGACTGCCGCTGCTGCTGAATTTCCATCCCTTGATGCGGACGAACTTTAATTAGGAAGCTTCATTGACTACTAAACCAAAAAAATTGCTTTAAACACAGAGAGGAGACCACTTTCTTCCCTTGTTTTAGTCATGTCATCAAATTTAGAAGTTTGTTGCGCATTTTGTCAAACATGATCTAAATGTTCGCCAGAGTCTGACTATTCGTAATCTTTGATTCATGATTGAACCGATTTATTTCAATGGCCGAAATTGTTGTTCGTGGTTCGTTGAACAATTCTTGAACACACCTCGCAATGATTCTCGAGACGAATTATTAATATTCATAATATTCACTGCTTTAATTCACTCAAATTACTTTTTCAATAGCATCTTCAAACTTTTTTATTCAAATCATTGATCCTCTAGATGGAAAATAAATTTGAAGATGCTGACAAGTTCACTAAACCCCTGATTTTTACTAACACTTCTAGTTGAATTTATTGCACATCCTGTATCCTAAAATTTTAAATTAGATTGTTCACTAGCACGACACCGTACGTCCAACTCGTCGTAATTAAACTACAAAAGGTACAAAAGTTCATTATTAAAAAGTTTTCAGCCGTTTTGTATTTTGCTGTTACAATGATGATCAAAATGATTTCAATACCATGTTCGAATGAGCAGCCTGCTAGAAATTACTCAATAAAAGTTATTTAAATTTTTTACGAGGAAATGATTGCAGTCCTCAGATCATCACCTGGACCACGCCTCCATTATCGCTATTGCAACATTATCGCTATATATCTAATATATTATTTTGTAATTTTATTTTCTTCTTTGCAATAATAGATTTATAGTAAAATTCAAGTAGGCTAATATAGATGTATACTACAGTAGACTATAGTCTAGACTGTAGATAAATCACTTCATTTAACTGGAGGAGAACTTAGGTAGACCATTACAGTGGTTGGTATGCCTTCCACACTGTAACGAGCTACCATTTAGAAGGTTTTTGGCAGGCGTGGATTTTGCTCGAACTACAGGACCTTCCACATCGACAGGTACAATTAGCTCAGCTCTAGAATATGATCCAAATGAATTGCCTGTCGCTAATTATTTGCCAATTACTGGTAAGGTGACTGATTGTGATGAAGCTGTCAAGAAGGATCTTAGCACAGACCAACTGTAGTTTTTGAAAGCATGTCTAGCAGTACAGCGTGGACGTCAGGCTTCTACAGATATTGATTTCCTCGAGAAGAGTTTACCTGGAAATATAAGTCATGCTCGAAAGCCAACAGGATTTTGCGTCTCTACATGTCTAGAGAAGTGGCATCTGAACCTCTCAGAAGAGTGACGCATTTCATTTTGAACTTTTATGGACCCTCTTGGTTCAAAATTATATCAAATTCTTCTTGCCGAAATGGTGCTAACAACTTCTTTTACTTAGTTCAGTTGTTTCGGGAACTTGATGCCTTAGATCAGGCTGTGGTTCGTCCTGTTCTCAAAAATAACTGCTACTTTACGCATGCTGAAAACATTCTCTTAGCTGCAGTTAGTGATAGTGATATGGAAATTCGTCGTTTTTCAGTAGAACAAATAATAAGAGCAAGAGAGAAGCAGACTAATAGTAACATACCGGTTCGCGTCTTTGATAAGAAGAATATAACATTAAATCTGGCTGCGACATCGTTCATTAACATGATTGACTGGGATCAGAGAAATGTTACGTCTCCTCCGATGCTATCACACCTTTCAAGTGATCAACTTACTTACACACATCCAATACTACTGCCCGATGTTCCATGTCATTCACAGGCAGTAGAGAGAACAATTAAAGACGTTAGCGCTGCCAGCTGTAAAGTTTATGGGAGAAAGTCCCGTCATGGCATGGTGTTGCAGAGTAAGAAATCCAGATTAGAGATACCAAAAATAGACAGCAAGAAAGATTTTATTAACAGTTAGGTTAAACAACTTTGTATTGTTGCTGTTTAACATTGATTCGTTACAGTTTACATTCTTTTTAATTTGTAATACATTGCAATACATTACACTAACATTGGGTATTTATGTAGTCTTTCTAGTCAGAGTTGGGACCTGTAGACAATGTCCATAAAATAAAAAGTGAGGTTTTTTCAAACGAGTACATCAAAAAGCAACTTTTTAGACATGTACAGGATCTCCAACTTAATATTTTTTACATTTCGACTCACCTTACTGTCCAATCCTCTCTCAATCATTTCCTCGTCCAACACGTGGCCAGTTAAGATGTGCCTTCGCAATACTTTTAAAGGGTGATAATTACTCAAACCACAATAATAATAATTAATGTCATAATTTTTTATTAAATTTATTTCAATGTTGTCTTAATGAATGCATAAGAGATTCATAAAATATCAAAAAGAAAGACAACCGGGATTTATTTTGATGATGCTAGCAAGCACCTCGCACACACACGCACACACACACACACACACACACAAATGTTTCATGACCCGCCATTGAACATTTTAATGCTCATTCCAATTGCATCCCGACAACAACTCCTAATTCCTGATGACGTCACATCGACCTGCCTTTTCTGGCCCGGATAGTAGTGGATTTTATTTATATGAATAATTTTTTATAGGCATAGCTTGAAGTTTGCAGTGCTCTGGATTTTGAAATATCATTCGAAAAATTATTCTAGCAGAGAAATTCAAAATTAAGTCGTAATTTTATTATTATTAACCAATGGAAATATAGTAACGTTATTATTTTAATGAATAATGAATTGTGTGATAAACACTGGCTGTCGGAAATTAAACTTCATCATGGCGTATTTTAAGAAACCCAGCTGTAATTAAAAAATCACATTGCTCCAAATTTCCACTTAGCCTTTAACGGAAGTTGGCTGTTTAAAACAGAATTTTTAAAAAAGCATTTGAGAGTTGCCGAGGGGAAAGAAAAAACTACAACGTCTATTGGAAAAGCGGAAAAGGGAAGATCATCACTTCATACGCTAAAAAAGAAAAATATGAAAAAATCTCTGTTTCAAGAAATAATGTCTGAGTTAAGGAAGCATGGAAGACAAAAAATAAGTGGGCTGGATGGGATCAGCCACTGGATAAGAAGTGCCAAAACTTTCGACAACAGACATTTGTGGGAGCGCGTTGTTCGTGAAAATGATCACCTTTGGATTACAGACGGCTAGAAAAAGAGGGAGAGAGAGAATAAGAAAAAGAAGAGAAAAAGAAAGAGAGAGAGATATTAGCCTGCAATTATGTTAGATGCTTCAATACTTAGAGCGAGATTTAATTATGTTAATTATTAAATTAATTAGTTTGTATTATTATTTCTTTATGATTTGCTTCTAAAAATTAATATTATTTAAACGTCTTTGATTATTATTATTATTATTATTATTATTATTAGAGAACTTGTAGAGCGCCTTTTATAGCCACCCAAAGGCGCTCCATGATTTGTGCGAATCAATACAAGAAGATGTGAGTTTTCAATTCCTTGCGAAACTGTTGAAGAGTCAATCCCGGCCGACGCAGGTGATGGGGCAAATTATTCCAGATGGAAGGACCAGCAACTGCAAAACTTCTATCAGCAACAGCTAACTTTGTTTTCGGCACCATCAATAAATCTTGATCATCTAAACGCAACTTGATTAACGGATGAGATCTAACTCTACGTATTATCATTTCAGACAGGTAACTTGGACTGAGACCATTCAGGCATTTGAACACCATGATGGAAATTTTGTATAAGATTCTTTTCCTAACATTAAGCCAATGAAGATCCAACAACGTTTGACTAATGTGATCAAACTTCAAACGGCCACTAACAATCCTGGCCGCTCTGTTCTGAATTGACTGTAGAGAAGACAATGTACTGTTTGATACCCCATAAAAAACACTGTTACAGTAGTCCAACTTTGAATGAACAAATGCATGAACCAAACATTTCAATGTGTCATTATCTAATGAGTTTTTAACTTGATTAAGCCTCCTAAGCTGAAATGAGCACTCCTTACTAAGCTTTTTGGCATGAAAATTCATTGACATATTTTGATCCAATACGATCCCCAAGTCACCAACGGAGGAACAAAAATTAACATCCGACCCAGAAATGTTGATGGACTTAACATCAATTTTCTCCAGCTGTTGCCAGGTACCAATCGAAAGTAGTTGAGTTTTACCTTCATTCATCTTCAATCTGTTATCTATCATCCACCCATTGAGTTTTTCGATGCAACATACAAATCTATCAACTTCATCTTCAAACGTTGTATTACATGCAATCGGAACAATTATTTGCACATCGTCAGCAAACGCATGATACTTGAAATTAAATTTCTCAATAATTGAGAACATATCAGCTGTATAAAGAAGAAACAACAAAGGCCCAAGGACTGAGCCCTGAGGAACTCCAGACGTGACTATCTCAACATCTGACAACCCGTTGTTAAAGAAAACTTGCTGAGTCCTTCCAATCAGGTATGATTCAAACCATGAAGCTACTACATGAGAGACACCAAAAAAGTATTTCAATTTATCAATCAACAAGGTGTGATCAACGCAATCAAAGGCAGCACTCATGTCCAATAAAGCCAACAATGAAACTTGGTGTTGATCCATAGCTGCAAATAATGTAGACGTAACATCAATTAAAACCGTCTCAGTTGAATGGTTCTGCCTATAGCCCGATTGGTGAACAGGCATCAAATTATGTCTATTCAGATGACTTAAGAATTGCCCCAAAACAATACGTTCAAGAACCTTAGACAAAAACAACAGATTGGATATTGGACGGAAATTAGAAATATCACTTTTATCAAGGGATGACTTTTTTAATATAGGAGTTACAACAGCGTGTTTCAGATGATTAGGAAAACAACCAGTTTTTAAGCACAAGTTAACAAAAAATGTCAAGAATGGAATAAACAAGTCGATATATGATTTAAAAACTTGAGTCGGAATAAAATCATTTGAAAAGGATTTTGTTGGGGAACCTAAAACAATTTTTTTAATTTCGTCACCCGAGCACAAAGAAAACGCAGAGAACAACTCATCAGACCGAAACCTACAATGACAAAAGACTGGTGCAATCGAGGAAGCTGTTAAGTCCATCACCCTCTTAATCATATCCTTGAAAAAAGAAGCAAAATCAGATGGCGTAAAATTAATTGATTCACTCAAACTATGGCTATCCGAGAATTTACCAAACAATTTACTCACCATGTTCCACAATAATTTAGGCCTGGACTTATTCATCTGTATCAAATTTTTCCAATACAAATTCCTTTTGTCCGAGAAAAGAAAACTTTTGTTCATTAGTGCATTTCTCCAAGCAATTTTATTAGCCTCACTCGGGATATGACAATAAACACGTTCAAGTTTACGACACAATCTTTTGCATATTCTGCACTGATCATCAAACCAAGAAGAATTATGGGAGATATTGGTTTTAACATAATGCAACGGGGCAACAACATCAATTATTGACTGCATACTAGACATGAATTTTGAATAAACAATCTCTGGATCACCATCAGTAAAAGGACCACCAACAAAAGACCGGGAAACAAGACGGGCAAATAATTCACTATCAATCCTATTCCATGATCGCACCAATCGTTTAACAATCCTCGTCCGACGATGGACAAACGGAAAATCAACTCTGATAAAACTGTGGTCAGAATGGACATTACTAGGAAAGACTGTGCAATCACAAGAAGGAAAATCAGCAGACGAAACAACAAGATCAAGTGTACCACCAGATGAATGGGTAGGACCAACAACACAATTACAAACATGAAGCGATTCAAAAATATCCAACAAAGAAACTGTATTCCTGTCATTCAATCTTTCATGTATATTGAAATCACCTACTATCAACAACAAATCAGCACACACAGAAATATACTCAATAATTGTAGTAAATTCATTAAAGAACAACGCAGAGACAGATTCAGACCCAGGACGATAAATGAATGGCCAGTGCCTCAAATGTTTGAACAATAGGAAGCTCAATTTTGCTAAAACCAAAAGAACACTTAAGAAAGACAATAATGCCACCATGATAGAGATCATTTGGCCTCAAACGATCAACATAAACATAATTAGGCGGCATACCTAACTGGATTATATTATGATCTAAAGAACCGTGCCAGGACTCAACAACAACAAAGAAATCAAGATCATCAGACAATAAATCATAAACGACACCAAGCTTATTAACAATAGACCTCATATTATACAAACCCATTTTAATTATTGAGCAGTGACTACTTTGGGAAACTTGATTATTTTCCACCGTCCGATAGGGCCTCTGACCCTGTATAAAAAAATCATTATCTTCAACATTGTTAGACTTGGCTTTATCCAACAGCGATTTCAATTCAACACGCTGTTCAGGGCTTAGGTCATGACTTACCCTAATATTTTTTAAGTCACCTTCAAGCAACTTAATTCTGAAGGATGTCTTCAGCGTCAACATTTTCGATACAGCATTACTGAATTTGATGATGAGAGGCCTCAAAACTCCGTCACGTCTATGTCCCTGACGAGTTATTACCAGAATATCAGCATTATTAAGTTTGTTCTCTGTCATTGACATCAAAATAAACATGACAACATCTCTATCCTTGCCAGCATTTTCAGATTCCTTCAAATTGAATATAACCATGTTATTCTCCCGTTCTTTGCTATCATTGGATACATCTAACGTGTGTTTAACAGATTTGACTTCATTAGTTACTACTTCCAATTTATTTTTCACAACATCGGTCCACAATGAACTAAACTCTTTCTTGACAACATTTATTGATTTATCAAACTCACTTTTAACATTAGCAGTAGATTTATCAAGTAATGAGTCAACATCTGCTTTAATAAGATCAAATTTATCATAATTTTGATCAACAGAAGTCTTAAACTGTTTCAACTCACTCCTGATTTCATCACTGCTATCCATAATTTGTTTCAACTGCCTATTGCAGTCATCCTGTTTCTCAATCAATATGCTGAGAGATTTCAAATTGTCCGAATGCAACAAGCAATTATCACAAAAATACTTTACATTTTTACCACTGTTAATAATTCGTAACATTTCATCATCATACTCAAGACATTTAGTATGAACGGAACCATCACAAAAACAACATTTCACCACAGTTTCTTTCGTATTCTTAAATCCACTTTTACACTTGACGCAGTGTCCCTTAGACATAATTAAAAGTAAACTTCAATAACAAAGTCAAGGTGACCTTAAATCAACCAGCCAACGAAACTCAAACTTCTTATTTTTAAACAAAATTAACAAATGAGAAAGTAATCCAATTCTAGAACCTCAATTAAATCAAAACGATACAATGTAAACGAAAAATAACGGATATAAATTACATAAATTAAGAAAAATTCGCACAAATGTCATTTGCATCTATCTACAACGCAAACACGTAATGTAACGTCTTTGATGTTTTATCATTGTTGATGATTTTTCTGTTCTTAACGCTGTTCAGTATTTAATATGATCTATTTATTGTTAGTGAAAAATTCTTTATTATCATCATCATATTCATCACCACCACCATCATCATGATCTCCACCATCATCATATTCATCACCACCACTATCATCACGATTTTTCCCATCATCATTTTCATCACCACCACCATCATGAACTTCCCAGTTGCAGCAAATGCACATCAGCAACAGCAGCTTCAACTGTAGGATCAGCTGGGCTGGTAATGGGAACAGCTGTGCAAGTAGACTGCGCCTGGTGTGTGACGTCACATTCTTGCCACCATGTCGATGCCATAGTCTGCCCATCCGCCGGTCCAGTCCTCGACTACAAGGTTGACGTCATCGAGTGGTGATGATGATGATGGTGATGATGATGATGTTGTTGTTGATGACGACGATGATGATGACGACGTAGATGATTTGTATTTTCATGTTGATGTTGGAAAGAATGATGCAGTCATTGCAATGATGAATGAATGAGTTGTAGGAGATGATGGAGAGAAGTTAGTTGCTAGTGTTGTTGATGTTGTTGATGTTGTGAATCTTTTGTTTTCTTTACACAAGCTTGTAACTCATCATGTCTGTTGGTGATAGATTTTATTTTAAAAGCTTCCAGCCATTTAAAACGGCCATCAAATACCTTTCAACGTTAACTATTCAGAAAATTATTGAAACCTCATCAACCCAGTCTCAACTATTTTCGAACGTTTCGACTGTTAAAATTGTGTTGTCGGTCGTTCGAAGCACCCTTCTGCTTGTTTGAATTCTTTAACTTGTTGCTAAGGCTCATTTGTTGCTTGATGTCAAATATCTTCATGACATTACGTTTCACTCATCTGCGTCAATGCTTCGACCAGTTATAAGTGGTTGGTCCGTTTCAACTGGACACAACGTTCTTCAAGCAAGTAAACAAACAAACAAACAAGAAAAGCATATTTGCAGTTCACAAACCTCGCGGGAAATAAAGAATGGTTACACTGGATTATTATATCATAGACTCAACCGACGTCATAAATGAAACAACTGTTTTGTCAACGTCATCTTTTTATCAACCATCACCATCTATCACATGTCTTACTCTTTCTCTCTCTTTTTTTCTCTCTCTCTCTCTTTCTCTTTCTCTCTCTCTCTTATGTCACCATCTTACGAAAAAAACACATCATCAATCTTTTCATCAAATTTTCATCAAGTCTTTCGTTATCAACTTCAACATTATCAATTCTCAGTGTACATCAAATCTAAAATTCTGTAAACTTTCAAGTCATTGAGTTATAAATGCTCTCTTGATATTTGTTATTCAGTTATTGTGTTTTCATCATTATCACAAAACCTAAAAACATCACTTAGAACAACAACATCACAGCAATGTTGAACAACCGCTAAGAAGCAACGGAACAACATCCATTCAGCAAAAACACAACAACATTACCACAACAATACAACAACAGCATAACAACAACAAGATGACAGACACTATTAATCTACTATTAAATAAAATTGTGTGTAAATATGGCATGGAGCATCGAATTAAATGGCATCACTTGTTTCAAAATTCATGATTCCAAATAATTTATTTATTCAAAATTATGCAACAAATATGTAAGCAGCGTAAGAACGTGTAGATTCTTTGCATTTGAAAAGTCTTTTTAACATAGCAACAAAATAGAGACAAACTTGCGAACAAACACGTGAACAAATATTTAGCAAGCAAATATTTGTTTATATCCGCTAACCAAAATGTTTTCAAATTTGTAGACCAACATACAAACAAGTTTGTCAACAAAAACATATTTATAGCAAATGAATATACAAGTTCGTAGAGACAAATACTAACAAGTTTGCAGACAAAAATACAAAAAAACAACAACAACAATAATAATAATAATATAAGAAATGAGCCAACAAATGCCTGCCAGCCCCTTAAGAACGTGGAAGGAGCGCGTTTACAGTTGATCGCACCGGATCGCCGTAGTTAATGTTGTAAATGACTGTACAAATGCTTATATATGATCGACAATATTTCAACTAGTCTGCGCAAAAACGTGTTTCAAACAGTAAACAATCACAACCATAATATCAAAACAACGACATTAAATGCAATGAAACCACCACAACAACATTAAATACGGCAACATGTAAACAACAACATCAACTAGAATGAGTGACATCAACATGTATCGCTAAACACAATTTTATTTAAATATTAAAGTAATTAAACAAGTTTTGCTGTATTGAAATAAAAATGTATTAGAAGATAGAGAAAGAGAGAGAAAAAAAAAAGAGAGAGGGAGGGAGAGAGAAATGAAAAGGGATAGAGAGAGAGAAAGAGAGAGAGAGAGAGAGTTAACAAAAGCATTAATTAAAACCTACAACAACAATATCAACAACATTAATAACATCAAGAACATAAGCAGCAGCAATAATTATAACAACAATATCAATAACATCAACAACATTAACGATAATAATAATAATGGCAAATCCTATGTTTCTATGACATTAATCACAACAAAAATTTCAATTTCCCAGCATTCAAAATATGTTCCCGGATATATTGCTCAATATCATATTAATTAGGTATTTACTTTATTATTATTATTATTCTTATTATTATTATTATTATTCTTATTATTATTATTGTTATTATTTTTTTTACTTTCGGTTATGTTATTATTTGTTCTGTTTCTTATTTTAATAATGTTTTTTTTTAATTTTCATCACAGCCAAAGCACGGTCTTAAAGTTGTCACATAGAGGTTTCACACACAAACATGCAAATACACAAATATACAAACATACAGACATGCAAACATACAAACGAACAAACATGCAAACACACAAATATACAAACGTACAAATATGCAGACCTACAAACGTTAAAAACATACAAACGAGCAATCGTACGAGCATAAAAACATACATCGAATCTGAAAACATACAAGTAAGCAAGCAAATATTTGCGCAAGCGTACAAGTGGGCAATCACACGAACTCGCTCACTGACAAACACACAAAATAAAAAAGTATTAAAAAAATATATACAAAACAAACAAACAAATTAAAACAAATAAAAATACCTGAAAACCAGTAAACATTTTTTTCTACATATTGATAATACATTCTCCTCTTACTACCAGAGTTTAACAACAGCAGTAGAAGTAGTAGCAGCAGCAATAATGGTAGTAGTTGTAGTGACAGCAATAATATTTATTATTTTGTTGTTGTGCATCTTTTCGTTTGTTTTAAGCAATGTTATAATAATAATAGTAATTATTATTATTACATTTTTATGATGAATGTTTTTATTAGATTGATGAATAGATAGATGGACGCACGGATGATTAGCCGGTTAAGAAAGCGGCCACACAATGGCGCAAATAAGTTGTTGACCAATAAAATAAATAGATGGACGCACGGATGATTAGCCGGTTAAGAAAGCGGCCACACAATGGCGCAAATAAGTTGTTGACCAATAAAATAAACGAATGAAGAGTGCTAACAAAAGAAAAATATATATGTGGAATAAGTGAAAAAAAATAAATGAGTGAATAAAGGAAAGAACTAACAGACTGATTGATCGATTTAATTATCGTGAGTAACACACATACACATACATCCGCACACACACACGCACGCACACACATACACACAGAAACAAACAAACAAACATCGCAGTACTGTCCCATGGTGACCAGCGTAGGAAGTGAAGATGACGATTTGTACATAGCAAATGAGGTTCCGACCACGCTGAACATCACTGGCGTCAACCTCCCAAGTCTCAAGGTCGTCATCATCTTGATGTTGTTAATGTTGTCCTGGTTGTTTTGTTACTTTAATGTTGTTGTTGCTGATGTTGTTTTTGGTGTTATTAGTAGTGAGGCTGTTGTTGCTATTGTTGGAATGTTGTTACAAGGTTTTACTTGTGTTGTTGTTGTTGTTGTTATTGTTGTGGAGGTTTTTATTAATGACTATGAGTTAGCTTGTTGCACATCTTTTGATTTTTCAATACCACTATAACAACAACAACAACAACTATGACATCATAACTGAATTATTAACACAACAACAACAACTATGACATCATAACTGAATTATTACGTCATCGGCATAAATTAACATTGCAACGTCAACATTATAAACAACAGCCAACTGATTTGACTGGATACGAGTGCTTGGTCCACGTGACTGATCCACCAATCAGAGTGCCTGCCACAAGAAAATCATCATCATCACTCCAATGCCACATGCAAACGGTTTTTAATCACTATTCTTCGAGTTGATAGCTCATCAAAATGCGCACATGACATCTGTTATATAAAGAGACTCCAAGCACTTCCATCTTAACAGCTCATTTTGCGAGGCAACAACCTGCGTTTGAACCAGGGCTCTGCAGATTCACATGACTTCATTTCAACGCCATGTATCAAAATTTGTAGTTATTGCGCAAAAATTATATTGAAATAACATTGCACTGAATTTTGTGGAGTGAACTGAATAAGTATTTGGATTGGCTGCACAGTTTTTGTTCTACTCATTCACTCACCGTTAATTAAGTTGATTGATTGGTTGGTTGGCTGGTTGGCTGGATGGTTGGCTGGTTGGTTGGTTGGTTGGTTGGTTGGCTGGTTGGCTGGTTGGTTGGCTGGTTGGTTGGTTGATTGATTAATTGATTGGTTGGCTGGTTTGCTGGTTGGTTGGTTGGTTGA